TATCTTGATTTTCAAATATGTAAGTAACTTCTTAACATATAATATATTTTATGTTAGAAAAAAGAAATGGATATAAGTCTTAGATTGTAAGCACTATGCAGTGCCACGCTTCAAACTAATAAATTCTTTTTCAATTTTAATACATTATTATCAATTCTTTATTGTCTTTAATTACCTATACTTCTGGCGGCCCGCCATCAGTTCATAATTTGCCCGAGTGGCCCCTAGTCTTAATAAGTCTGTGCATCACTGATATAAGACAATGTGAAAATAGGCTTTGCAAAAGCTTCACTGTAAGAATGTTTTTGCAGCTACATTCATACAGTTACCGTTACAGCCTATTCATAAAGTCCACAGCTGAACATAGACCTCCATCATAGATTGCCTCATAGGGGGATATTTGCCATAGTTGCCACGCATTGCAATCAGGTTGGCAACCGCAGTTTTTTTTTAGTAGTTATTAGGGAGACGCTGCTCTCCTTATGTATTTCCCTTAGGCTATTCTCAATGACGCTCTCTGTGTCTTAGTTTGACTCATAACCTAAGTAGATTTACCCAAGTCGGGTCCCTTCATTATATAACAACATAATAATATATCTCTATAAATTACCCACTTGATGATTTAAGGCAACTTGTTGGTGGGTGAGACAAACATGATCGAAAAATGCATACATATAATATGCATTTTTCGAGTATATTATACTCAACGTCAGTGACATAAACCCTTTCTGATGCCGAATTATTATTATTATCTTATAACTGCCTTTTGGTTATATCTGCCATTTTTTTGGTTGGTGGAGCATATGTGTCGACCTCATGCGGGTGGTAGCTGGAGGGAGGAAGGGGTCCATTCCCGTGAAGTGAGCGATAGACTCATAACATCCTCTGCGGCTAATTAGCCGTGCTGATAATGCAATTGGTGGTGATGCCTTACACTTACATCACGTCAGCAGGAACGGCAGTCTGGCAGGTGGTGGTGCTCACGGAGGACTTTTTATGGGCAGTGTGCCTATTATTGCCTAATCCGTGTGACTTTTATTCACTGTGGCTGGATTTCATCGTATTCTATATGACGTATACACCCATTGTTTGCGCGACATCGGTCGATGTTTGTGCTTACGCACTAGCCCCTTGGCTAAGCACTCTTTTACTGGTACGCCAGTTATTTTGCTGTGGGCTACGGTCCAGTCCCCAAGTTAACGTCCCTTTCAAGGTGAGCGCGTTGGTTGGTTGTGCCTCCCCACATTTTTTTTAAATGTGGAAGAGCGAGGTCCTTGTGTCTTTGCTCTTGTATCTGGTATATTTTATAAATATTGTGAGCCTTTTCCAAGCGGAAAGGGATTAATTAATAAGGAATTGACTAATGTGAACCTGATACAATTGGAATAGGGACGATTTAACGTTCTTAAACCTTTTTAGAACCCTGTCTTTTCCTGGGGTTCTTTAGCTTATAAGGCACCACTAACAGCTTTCAACTGCTCTATTAAGTATTAAATCTTCCAAGGTGCTCCTAAACTAACTAATTTACTAAACAAACATAACGTAAATAAGGGTCCTAATTAAGACGATCACGCCATAAATTTATTAAACGACCTATATTTAAACCTATAGAAAGATCAATATATTGTTTAATATACTATATAAATTTATATATTTTTATATATCATATAGATAGCTGAGCGGCCTCGACGGAAACCGTACTGGCGGTCACTAATCAGCTGATGATCCTCAAGGTACCACATGAGCTGGCAGTTAATAATGCTTTCCATTACTTTGAAGAACGAGGAGGTGATAGCGATAGGCCTGTAGTTGGACGGATCTGCGCGGTCACTTTTTTTAGGGATTGGGTTCACCAAAGCTGTCTTCCATGAGTTCGGGATTACGCCTAGGGAATAGGAGTACCGGAAAAGACGCGGTAAAACCGATGCCAACTCCGGAGCACACGTCTTCAGCACAATAGGTGAGACTCCATCAGGCCCACTCGACTTGTTGACGTTCAGGGAGAGAAGTACTTTACTTACCGAGCGCTGTGTAAACAGCACTTCCTGCATGGATCACTCACACTGCGGGATGATCGGCGGTGTGTTCCCCCCGTCATATAGAGCCGAGTTGGTAGCAAAAAGAGAGCCTGGCAGATCGGCTTTCTCCTTTGCGTCATGGGCCAGTGAGTCATCACCCTGTGCAGAGATGGCAGAGATGGCTGACAGAAGTTCCCTTGGAAAGCCTTGGCGAGAGACCAGGATGCACGTGTTCCCGAAGGGAGGCGAACTAGTTTCTTGCCAATTTTACCGATGTACTCTCAATTTGCCCTGGCAATGACACTTTTGAAGGACCTAGAGGCGGAATTATAATTCTTTTTAAGAGCGCTGGTGTTGACATCCCGGGACGTTGATACGTTAGTCCAGGCCGGGTAGCACTTCTGCTCTAGCGTGATGCAATTTTATAGGAGTGGCCAAACCATGACTGCCTCCGATAGGCACTACAGATGACGGAATAAAAAGTTCCATACCCTGAAGTACCACATCAGCAACAGAATCAGCAACAACGTTGGGATCATTCGGCGAGGAGCAAACCTGCCCCCAAGGGTTGGATGCAAAAAAAGACCGCATCCCGTCCCAATCGGCCGACCTATAGTGCCAAACACGGTGGCAAGCTGCAGATCGCAACTGCCATAGGCGTGAGTGGTACCGTACTCCGGATCAGACAATGGTCTGAAGAGCCAAGAGGGGCATCGACGGAGACCTGATATTCGTCTGAATGAGTGGTCAGCAGAAGCTCCAACAGGAAAGGTACATGATCCTCCAAATCTGGAATCCGCGTAGGCGAAGTAACCAGTTATGTCAGATCATATGCCAAGGCAAAGTCATAGACACATCTACCCGCATGATCGGTTAAACGGTAACCAAGCCATTCAGCGTGGTGGGCGTTAAAATCACCGAGAATCACGATCTTTGCGGATGGGACCTGTTGTAACACGGAGTCTGCAGCCATTTGGACGTGGTCGATGAGTTGGTCTGTGTCGGCATTACCGCTATGGGACCTATAGAGGCACCCGTAGATGAGAGATGGTCAGTCGCATAGGATGGACAGGTGCGTACCTTCAAGACTGCCGAGGCATCGAAACAGATCCTCTCTGACGTACACGCAAACTCCTGCCCGGGGCACAATGGAGTGTTCTAATTTGTACCTCAGGTAGGTGAGATACGGAGTATAATCCGGAGAGGACACCTGTGTCTCGGTTAGAAAGAGCAAGGCCGGCTTTGCCGTCTCCAGATGGTAGTGGACGGTATAAACGAAGTCCCCGATATTGCAGAAATTGACGGAAAGCATGGCAGCGGTTGCCTTTGTTTTATTGCTCCGCTTGCCCCGAGCAAGTTGCGTCTTGAGCGGAATTAGGGTAGCTTGGGCGTGGATGCTCAGCAAGGGACTTTCCAGGGATGCTGATACCCCCATTGGGCAGTGTTTCATTTAATTCCGCTACCATATTGATGGGGGTGGGGGGGGAATTGGCCCTCCAGCCACCTGCAATTACCAGGCGCAATGCAGAAGTAAACTTCTACTTCACGCTGGTATTCTGTGAGGTTGTGGTACCAACCTAGTTCGAGCCGGCCCAACCGTCCGACATGGCTCTACCACTTTTAGATCATATATAATATGAATGACGTTTTGGCAACGCATTCAAAAGGAATTTTATAATATCTATTAATTACTAACTGTACCCCGCGGTTTCACCCGCGTCATCACGTGTCCGAGGTGCGCGACATGACCTAGTTCAAGCATTCTATAACGGCTAGGGTTTAAGCGTCGTTCGCGCGCCCAGCCAAGTATTGAATTATTTTAATTTTACATTATCTCTTAAACTATGCGTCCAAATAACATGGTATAAAGAACAAAGTTTATCTTCATAAAATTGTCTTGATGATGAAGTAACTTTCGTTCGTAAGGATAAATAGGCCATGGCTAATAATAACGGTCATAAATCACTTTTAAATTTTCAATATTTTTGTCACAAAATACCAAATTATGACTTATGTATAAGAAATAGACATATGGTATCGCCGACTTTTTTTAAGAAAGAGTAAAGGTCTATATTTTTCTAGAACATCGTATTTACGTATCCCTAACGATAACACCAGCGTACTGTTAGGAGGCCGATCCCGTTTGACTTTTTAAAAAAAAACCACAAGGTAAACCTAAGGGTTTATTATAAAAAGTTTACACACACAATTAATATTAACCCTGACTTCCGAACTCTAATACGTATCGGAATCTATGTCCGATCTACCCAGGGCTCTGAATCTAACTGACTGTAAAATGGAATAAAATTAATATGGAAAAGAACAATGCAATTACTGATTGACGTCATATATAGGAAAAGTACCGTGGGATTGAATAAATGCTTACTAAGATTTAACTGCGTTGTAAAAAGGGATATAACAGCTCCCTCCTTTTGACTGAGCTTTTTCTAAATTAAGATAAAGCGAAGTTTCGAAATAGAGAAATAGTTAGAGGTCGGAATGCCTTACAAAATATAGAAATAGAAAATTAAATTTATAGTAAAACATAGCAAATTTATCTTATAACAATATAAAACTTTCGAACTATTTGTTTTTACATAAAGATAAAGTAGGTTGTAACTAAGTTATATAAAAGAAACAGAGTAAGATTTAACAAATAATCAATATAAAATAGAACAATGAATTTATATAAAGGTAAAATAGTAAAATCTAGAATTAAAAGTATTTTAAATAAATTAGTAGAATTACGAGTACAAATTGATTTTTAATAAACAAAATAGTAATTTCAATTACAATTTTCATTTTAACATTGTATATAATTAAATAACAATACACATTTAAAATTAAAAAATACTTATTACAATTAGATTGAATTGAAAATAGTAAAATGTAGCAATTACAAAATATAAAATGACAAAGTAGAAATTGAAATTGTATGATAATAAAATTAATTATTTGTGTTAATACAAACATTTTTGAAAACTAAAATTGAATAAAATTAGAAATTAAGATTTCTTCCGGAGGAAGAGTGAACTTTTTGTACAGTTTCATAAGGTTCACAATTAGTACAATTTGGTAAAGATTTGGTGAAGACATATCAATCATCTCAATTGAATTTGTAATTTTAGAATTATGTTTCGATGACTTTTTATTATTACACTGATTAAATATTTGTATACAATGTCCACTATTATTGTGTCGATTTCTGGAACATTTAAATAATTTGTAGGCTAAGTACAAAAATAGAAATACAATTAAAATATAAGTAAATGTGGAATAGTATGAACCGTATTTTATAAAATGTGATTCCTTTTGAAGATTATTTAATTCAAATTCTAAACTATCTAGCTGATGACTTGCATATTTTAAGGAATCCAAGTTAACTTTGCTTAGAGAGATTGGCGTTAAATATGGTAAACTTTTATTAAATACATCTTTTTTGCAACAATCATCTCTTGTTATGTCAAAGCTTATATCTATAGTTGACTTAAGGCCTTAACAGTGGTTGAAATGCCTAAATCTGGAATATTTAAGTAAAAAAATCTCAATAACTGTTCATTTAATCCACAAAGAAAAAATACAGGGTAACAGAAGAAGATTTGGTAAATGTTTTTAATTGAAAAAAAATTGTAGTTTTGTCAACCCCTTATTAGAAAAAAAATCCCCAAAGAGTACCTATCTTTGTCATATTTTGCAAAATTTCTCCAAAACGGCACAAGCTTTTTAAATAGTTCTTACACTAAAAAAAGGTCTTAAAAATATTAATATTTTTAATTCAGAGTTTTATTTTTATTAACCGTTTTATAAGAGAATATATCACTTTTCCCTGAAATTGAATATATTTACGCGAGCGCGCATGCTCCGTCGCCATGTAAGATCTATCACAGTCCGTTTTCGGACATCGTCGAGGGTGGACCGCACGTCGGTGTTGAAGCGACTTCGTTCAAATATATATTAGTTTTTTAAAAGTTTATACTCAATTATAAATATTTTTATGACTAGAAATACTTAATTTAGTTAATATCTGTACACTGGTAACAGTAAATATTATTTTCTAAATAAATGAATTTTTAAAGTGCCCAAAGAAGAAGAAATTTTCGCGGCGACGTTGATTAGTGAAATTGAAAAATGCATTTTTATATAATTTAGATGTGGAACGACGAACATCCTCTCGTTACTTAGATTTCGATAGTTTTTAATACCTATGTAATTTTAACGATAGTAGAGCCACGCAGCAGTTTTTGCTGTTGCATGTATGGGCCGGCTCGAGCCGGGTTGGTACCACGACCTCACAGAATACCGGCGTGAAGTAGAAGCTTTGCTTCTGCGTTTCATCTGGTGAGTGCAGGTGGCCGGAGGCCCAATTCTCCCCCCCCCCCCCCCCCATCAACATGGTAGCGGAATTACACGAAGAACTACCCCAGGAGGGTACCAGCACCCCTGGAGAATCCCTCGCTGAGCATCCACGACCATGTTATTCCGATCCTGAGCCTGGGTGCTCAGGCTGTCCCGCGTATTCTGGGGGGGGCAAAATTCCGCTCAAAAGCATTACTGCTAGGGGCAAACTGAGCAAGAACACCAAGGCGACCCCTGCTACGCTATCCGTGAATTTCTGCAACATCAGGGGACTTCACTCAAACCTAAACGCCGTCCACTACCATCTCGAGACGGCGAAGCCGGCCTTGCTCTTTCTGACCGAGACGCAGGTTTCCTCTCCGGCTGATATTTCGTATCTCTCCTGCCCGGGGTACAAATTGGAGCATTCCTTTATGCCTCGGGCTGGAGTTTGCGTGTATGTCAGAGAGGACATCTGTTCTCGACGCCTCGGCAGTCTTGAAGGTTCGGACCTGTCCATCCTTTGGCTACGCGTAGACAGCGACGACCATCCGCGCGTCTACGGGTGCCTATATAGGTCCCATAGCGGTAATGCCGAAACAGACCGACTCATCGACCACGTCCAAATGGCTACAGATTTCTTGCTACAACAGGTCCCATCCGCAGAGAGAGTGATCCTTGGCGATTTTAACGCCCACCATGCCGAATGGCTCGGTTCACGTCTAACCGATCATGCGGGGAGATCTGTTTATGACTTTGCCTTGGCATATGGTCTGACACAACTGGTTACTTCGCCTACGTGGATTCCAGATGTGGAGGATCATACACCTTCCCTGTTGGACCTTCTGCTGACCTCTCATCCGGACGGATATCAGGTTTCCGTCGATGCCCCTCTCGGCTCTTCGGACCATTGTCTGATCCGGAGTGTGGTGCCACTCACGCTCTCTTCGCGGTTGCGTTCTGCAGGTTGCCGCCGTGTTTGGCATTACAGGTCGGCGGATTGGGACGGAATGCGGTCCTTCTTTGCATCCTACCCATGGGGGCGGGTTTGCTTCTCGCCGGATGATCCCAGCGCTGTTGCTGACTCTGTCACTGATGTGGTGCTACAGGGAATGGAACTATTTATTCCATCATCTGTGGTACCCATCGGAGGCAGATCTCAGCCTTGGTTTGGTCGCTCCTGTAAGACTGCATTACGCAGTAAGCAGGAGTGTTATCAAGCCTGGGCTGCGGCTTCGGCGACTCGGGATGTAAATACCAGCACACTTAAAAAGAAGTATAACTTCGCCTCCAGGTCCTTCAAAAGAGTTATTGCCAAGGCAAAGTCAGAGCACATAGGCAGAATTGGCGAGAAACTAGTTCGCCTTCCTTCGGGAACCCGTGCATTCTGGTCTCTCGCCAAGGCTGTCCAAGGGAATTTCTGTAAGCCATCACTACCATCTCTGCACAGGGAGGATGACTCACTGGCCCATGACGCAAAAGACAAAGCCGACCTTTTAGGCTCCCTTTTTGCGTCCAACTCCACTCTTGATGACGGGGGGAAAACACCGCCGACCATCCCGTGGTGTGAGTGCTCCATGCCGGATGTGCTGTTCTCACAGCGCTCGGTTCGCAAAGCACTGCTCTCCCTGGACATCCAGAAGTCGAGTGGGCCTGACGGAATCCCCCCAATTGTGCTGAGTACGTGTGCTCCGGAGTTGGCACCGGTCCTAACGCGTCTTTTCCGGTACTCCTACTCCCAAGGCGTAGTCCCGAATTCATGGAAGACAGCTTTTGTCCACCCGATTCCTTAAAAAGGCGACCGCTCAGACCCGTCCAACTATAGGCCTATCGCGATCACCTCCTTGTTCTCCAAAATAATGGAATCCATTATTAACTGCCAGCTCATCCGGTACCTTGAGGATCACCAGCTGATTAGTGACCGCCAATACGGTTTTCGTCGGGGTCGATCAGCTGGTGATCTTCTGGTCTACCTGACCCATAGATGGGCGGAGGCAGTAGAGTCCAAGGGGGAGGGGTTGGCCGTTTAGTCTGGACATTGCGAAGGCCTTCGATCGGGTTTGGCACAAAGCGCTTCTTTCGAAGCTCCCTTCCTATGGGCTTCCCGAGAAATTGTGCAATTGGATCACCAGCTCCCGTGCAGATCGGAGCATCAAGGTCGTTGTAGACGGTGCATGTTCTGACTACAAGCCTATTAACGCTGGTGTTCCACAAGGCTGTGTGCTATCACCAACGCTGTTTCTTCTGCATATCAATGATATGTTGCTAACTGGTAACATTCATTGCTATGCGGATGACAGCACTGGTGATGCTCTATACACCGGCCGTGCCAATATTTCTCGGGAAAACGTCGCTGAGTACCGGAACAAACTTGTGTCTGAAGTCGAGTTTTTGCTGAACAAAGTCTCGGATTGGGGGCGACTAAATCTAGTCCAATTTAATCCTCAGAAGACACAAGTTTGCGCGTTTACCGCTAAAAAGAACCCCTTTGTCGTATCTCCTCAGTTTCAAGGCACTCCCCTTCTTGCCTCAGCCAGTATCGGTATCCTCGGAGTCGACATATCGAGTGACGTGCAGTTTCGTGGTCACTTGGAAGGGAAGGCCAAATTGGCCTCTAAAACGCTTGGCGTGCTCAGCAGAGCGGGACAGTATTTCATGCCGGCACACCGCCTGCTACTTTACAAGGCGCAAGTTCGGCCTCACATGGAATACTGTTTCCATCTCTGGGCAGGGGCTCCCCAGTGCCAGCTCCTTCCACTTGACCGCATCCAACGCAGAGCGGCTCGAATTGTCGACGACCGAGCCCTTTCCGATCGGCTCGATTCATTGGCACTGCGAAGAGATGTTGCATCCCTTTGCATTTTCTTTCGCATCTACCATGGGGAGTGCTCTGAGGAATTGTTCGGATTAATCCCAGCCGCCAAATTTCACGAACGCACATCGCGGCAGAACTACCGATACCATCCACACCATGTGGATGATTGGCAGTCCACCACTGTGCGATTTAGAAGATGTTTTCTTCCTCGCACGACCTTGTGGAATCGATTACCTATAAAAAAAGAATTATTGTTGCATATTTTTATTAATTAGTTGATACTGAATTTTATAATTATGTATTACAATAAAACGCTGTTTTATGAGTATGACTTTATAAAATATTATTGGGGAGGAAAATAAAGATACAGATACTTACATTTAGGTACACTGTTATTAAATTAAATCAAACAATTTAAATAAATAAAAGAATGGTGCTTACCTAAGTATAAATAACTATATAAAGACATTCTTGGGTTTATGGTTTTCTTTATGTTAGACAAACTATCACCTATAAAATGTAAAAATTTTAAATTGGAGAGGGGTTTCTCTACGTGATAAAGTTAGAAATGAAGATATTTGCATTAGAACCAGAGTAACTGACATAGCCCAACGGAATATTACAGTGAAATGGCAATGGGCTAGCTATATAACTTGGAAAACAGATAAAAAATAGGAAGAAAGGTCCTCGTACAGGTAAGCGAATTAGTACTCAACCTTTATTCCTATTCACGTATTCTCATACGCTTTTCTTCACACATTCACACATACACACACACACACACACACACACACACACACACACACACACACACACACACACACGCACAAAAATAGGTCGCAAATAATACTTACCTAGTACTATTAGGCAAGAGTGAAAAGGTTTTTGTTAAGTCAGTGCAATGCACCATCTTAGACTACATAACCACTTACCGATGGGATTGTAGTTGCTTTACTACTTGCTGGGTAAAAAAAGTAAAATAACATTTATCCTGTGAAAGTTTGCATTTAGATATAATTTTTCTAACCAACCATAAAAATATGATTAGAATATGTATATAAGTATAAAGGTTGCCTCACACGGGACAGTAATAATATAATATTATATCTTCCATTATTTACGCATGAAAACTTTTAAAATCTCTCAATCCCGTGGTATGTTCATATTAAGAGGCTGAATAGAGCCACATTGAAATGCATGGGGATCGTTTTGTAATTTCACGTGATTATCGAAAAAAATTGTACGTATTTCAGGTGGCGGTTTGCAAAACACGATTCCACAAAAACTAACTCAATAGAAAATAATTGCAAAGTTGCTTCTAAAAATACTTAAATTTTCAACGTCAATTTTTTATTACGTGGTAGAGCCATGCTGCAGCTATATTAGTAGTAGGTATAGTTGTAGCACGAATGGGTCGGCTCGACCGGGGAAGGGCCACGTTCTCACGGAATAACATGTAAAATAGCAGTTTAACCCTGCTGTGTTTCGTATGGTGAGTGTAGAGAACCGGAGAACCTTTTTACTGAAAACGAGGCATTACATCTTAGTCCTCACGGGTGACAACGCATCTACATTTTGATACGTAATCGAGAATAGATGTAGATGTGTATGGGCCGTAGCAACCACTTACCATCAGGTGGACTGTATGCTCGTTTGTCACCCTTTTTCTATTAAAAAAAAACTTTCTGACATTTCAATAAAATAATGTTAAATATTGTAAGCACTCGTACAATTATGTCTCATGTTAATAAAGCTATTGGGCTATTTTGATTTGTAATAAAGTGATTTTACTTTATAGGTTAAATAATTTATTTACCTTTCTATATCAAGAACCGTTTTTCTGTCACTCCTATTGACTTTGACAGTGCTTGCTGAAATTTAGCATCCTTAGATGGATCAGAATCGTGCGCTGATACGGCTGTTAGATATTGCAAAAATAATCGAAAATATTTATTTTTACTTTCATGCCTAAGACTACCTTGTTTTATTTTATTACGGTCAAATAATATTTATTAGGTTATAAAGCAAGTATTTTTGTAAATGTTTTGTATGTAAATGTAAATGTTTTCATTATTTTGATATTCTATTGTTTACAGTTATTATCACGTCTTAGCTTTACACCAAGAATTACATTAGAAATTCTTGATGGGATGCGATGTAACGCGCATACATTATTTTAATCAAGAACAAAGTTTAAGTTCAAAGAGTTTCAACAAAATCTTAAAAAAGTTCAACGAATTAAAAAAATGCCAATAATTATATAATTTCAAGTCAGTGTTTTACATTTAAAGATCAGTTATAAAGAGCCAAAGTTCTTATTTTCATTTTGATTAATTTAATTCGAGACTAAAATAAATGTGAGAGGGCTTTTATCTGCAATAATAATTTTCATCCAAAATAACATAGACTTATAAAAGTCATATACACGGTCAATCATACCGAAGATTATCAATTGTACTACAAAATATTTAAAAGACTATTTCCAGTATAATGACCCGAATATCATAATTAATGTTTGACTGGCACACTTAAAAGTTTTATCACATGGCTAATTGATTGACTTTTAATTATGATAAGGTCATGCTTTTCTATAAAAAGTTACAAGAAATTTTAATTCCCGGCCCTATTGGTTTGTTTTACTTTTTACTTAATTAGTGAAAAACAAAATGGACTGATCTAAAAGTTTACTTTCTTGTGTAAAAAGTGCTATTTAGAATTTTATAAAAATGATAATTAAAGTTTCTATGTAAATAAGTGTAACATAGCGGGAATTATATTCAATGGTAGCGGCCATCCGTATTTGCAAAGCCAGCATCATTTTCTGTACAGAAACCGGCAAAGTATTGCTCAAGGCACTATAAACAAAGCAGCTGATAAAATGTTACACTCATAACTGTTAACAAAAACTGTTTTCCCAAATGGTCTTATAGATAATAATAACTATTCCGCCGTGTTAGGTGCAGGAGCTTTTATTAGAAGGAGAAGAGGTAAAATTTTGTTTTACAAATGCGCAATCAATATTGTTTTGTCTGCGATTGAGCATAAAATAAAAATAACTTAATCCAAAGAGCATAACTGGCATTATACTCAGGCCCATCAATTGGTATGGAAAAAATAATTTTACCAGGTTTCAAAAAATCAATCAAAATTCAAAAAAACATAAATATTAAAATCAAAAAATGTATATATGTATGTCTATACATACATATAATGATTTATGGCCGCTTAGTAACTGACGGTGACTCACTATAACATCCTACAGTCACGCCGAAACTAAGAGGAGAGAATCACTGTAGAAAAGGTAATAATTTATTGCGGAAATTTTGTGATAAAATTAAAAAAAATTATAAACTTATCCAAGTTAATCTAACTTAGTCTAACTTATCCTTATGCGTTATAAAAAAAAACAAATAATAAAATAGTGAGATGGCGTCAGTTTTTAAGAAGATATAACAAAACTAAACAAAAAAAATAAATTTCAAAAAAGTTCAGTATTTAATTGATTATATACCGCTGACACTTAATCACGCTTTTCGAAACCACGCCAGTTGTAAACAATACTTGTGTGAAAAGACAAAATCTTCTTTTCAAATTTCCGCCGAGTTGTAAGTAGAAAGCCAAATAGGTCACGTGTCAATTTTAATTAAATATATTTTATATGAAGTGATCTTGACTAAGTTTCATCAATTAACCATTGGTAAAAATTAAAACCGGAATTTTACGATTGTGTTTACAAAAAACATTATTAGTTGAACCTTGCAGCTTGTTCATTATTTTTATTATAAATACCTATAAATGTATATATTATTAATAAATAGTTCCCATAATATTTTGGATTATTTTTTATTTTGCCCTATCTGCAATGTTCTACGCTCTACAGAAAATGTGGCGTATGACATGACTGACAATCTTTCGAACGTTTTATCTAGGTACAAAGATGTTTTACGTTTTCGTCGCCTCCACGTGATATTTTTGTCAGCATAATGTACCTTTCTATATATGAAACGATTATAAATATTGCTACAAAGTAAAGTAATAGGCTATACAAGTCCCTCTACTGGGCATAGGACTCTTTTTTATTTCTGAGAGGGTTTTAGGGCAAGGAAATGCCCGCCGTGCTTCCCCAATGCGTGTTGACGAAAATTGCAATTACAAATTTCATTCGTGCTATCGGAGATCAAACCCGGGAAAATTTACAGCGAACGCTTTGACCCAGATCTATTAATACGATACAAATAAATACGATTTAACTCATATAATGAAAAACTCTTACGTACTTGAAACTTGAACACTTGATAGCTCGTGACGCCTACCGGACAAAGCTACAGCACAATGTAATTGAAGATGCGTAACCGCGATATAATTCTCAGTGATGCGCAAGCATAACAGACAGTATGTCACTTATATAATTGTCATCTCTGCAGTCTATTAATCTTTGCACTTTTATAAGTAATACAGAACGTAGTTGCTAGACGGTGTTGACATCGGCTAAAATCTCTGCGATCGCCGTTTCGTCAAGGTCATTCAGGCTAGTTAAAGCCTTAATCGAAAATTGATAAGTACTTGTTGGCAATAATTGAATAGTTTTGGAATAACCGATACAATTTTCGGTTAATTTGACAATACCTGTGCCAATAATAGAATGATCAGTAATATCATCGTTACATTTGATAGTTAATTTATTTACATTGGATTGTACATATATCCATCTATTATTTTTTAATTTATGCCAAATATTGATTTGGCCAAATAATAACTTAGAGTTACATTCAGAAGGTAAGGAGAGAGTTACTTCTGTTAATAATTTCGATTCACAATTAGGATTATTTATGCTAGACGTTATAGTAAATAGTTCACAAATAGAATAGTTATTATTAATAAATTTACAATCATCTAAGTTATTAAACATAGTATAATGTATTCTATCGTCACTTAAAGCAATATAAGAATTAGAAGGTTGAATAAGTGCAAACGTTTGTATATGCGACTCGTCGTGAGGAGTCGGTAATGGGATATTTTTATAAACAATGAATTTATCAGGTGTTATTAATGGAATCTGCAAGCTGAAAACAATCTTATTGTTATAATAATATGAACTAAGTTTCGAAACATCAATTAACGAATGAAAATTATGTATGTTCAATTGCACTGGAAAATCTAAACGTTTATTTATTTGATTGATATGCCTGGTTAATTCATTATAAAGACTTAAAGGGCTAATCACGCTAGGATGCAAAACATTTACCTTGGAAAATAGGATAGTATTTATAGTCGTGTCTAGAAAGTTAGAAATAGCAAGTAAGGAGCTTTCAATTAAGTTCAATAAATTATTTATTCTAGAAATGTTAATAAGTAAATTATCAGTTTTTGTGATTTGAGAAAGAATTTCATTCATTTTATTAATTAGTGAGTTTAATCTTAATTCATTTTGGTTTAATTTATAAATAGTGGCATTAAAATTATTTATGGTAGATTTAATTGTCTCTGAATAAATTAAATAGTTCTGTTTCACTTTTCCGACATAATTCTATCGCGGCATCATATTTTCGCGCATCATCTGCGTCTAGAGTACCGAAGAAAAATTTAAGAATTTCGCCTCCAAATTCTAGAGATCTTTTAACTCTATTTGGCGATTGATTATTATCGATTATATGTGCTAGGGATTGCAATTTGACGTAATTATATTTTATTAAAATCTCTATAGGATTTGAAAAATCTTTACATTGGGAAAATTCGTCAGTATTTATTTTGGGACAAAGGTTTAAGGTATCATATAATAAATTTTCAATTTTATTGAGATAAGGAGCTAAAGGTATAAGGTCTATATGTGTTATAACCTTCCAATAATCGTCATAAAAGTTAATATGCGTAATAGGTTCAAAATAAATTCCAGGACTATGTGATATAGGTATGATCCTCGACTCAGCGTGGCTTTGGCTTCCATAGCATAAAGCTCTGAAAAATATATAAAATAAGTTAAATTTAAGGAGTGTTAATAGCAGGCTTAATCTCGTTTATATGATACTTAACATGTTTACGACCTACTTGCAAAGTAACGTTGTGCTTATTATGGACTTTTATAATTTTATATGGACCTTTCCATATATGTGATAGGGCTTTACGGAGTCGGTGATGGTGTTTTATATAAACTAAGTCACCAATTTTAAAAGAAATTTCGCGTGAACTTACATCGTAATATTGTTTGGATTTTTCTTTGCTATTAATTATATTTTGAATGGCCTTTTCTCTACTAAAACGCATTCGATATTGTAAAGCTCGAATATATTTATTATAAGTGGTATTATTGTTCGTTTCATATAGAGAATTAGGGATATTAGGTTTATAACCATATAATAATTCATGAGGGGTGAAATTGATAGTGCAATGAGAGGTAGTATTATAAGCTAATATTGCGGTAAATAAATAACAATGCCAGTCGTTCTGGTTTTCATTAACAAAAGATTTTAAGTATTCTTTTAAAGTAGCATGTGAGCGTTCTAGAGCTCCATTTGTTTGTGGGTGGTAAGGAGTAGTAAATAAGGCCTTGACTTTTAAGATTTGAGTTAATTCTTTAAATAAAACAGACGTAAAACAAGTACCTAAATCCGTAAAGATTGTTTTAGGGAAACCGAAAAGAGACATAAAATGTACAAGATTTCTGGCTATTTCTTCACTGGTAGCTGTGACCAGGGGATAAGCACTTGAAAATTTAGTTAAATCATCTTGTAATGTAAGGATGAATTTGAATTTTTGAAAACCTGCGTCAGGTAAAGGACCAACGATGGCGAGAGCTAATCGTTCAAACGGTCTAGTGGAAGTAGAAGTTATTTCCATTGGGGCCTTATTGGACACTCTTAATGGTTTATTAATTTGGCATAATTGGCATTTCTTTACATAATCTACAATGTCAGAGCGCATACTTTTCCAATAATAGGCGGCTTTAATTCGTCTATACATACGACTTGAACCTGGGTGACCCGCAATAGGTGAATCGTGATTCTCTTTTAAAATTTTAGGGATTTCGACGGGAGTAGGATAAATAAATTGATTTTTGTATATATGAATTTTAATGTTAGTGTTATGAAAAATATAGGCAATCATATTATATACTTTAATATAAGCTAGCTTAGAAAATGGATCTGAAAAGTCTAATAAGGCGAGATCTGTAATATCAGGGTTCTCGATTAAAATTTTATCTCTGAGTTTTATAATTAAATTGTAAATGTCTTTAAATTTGGTTTCTTCATAATAATGAATTTTAGTGTACATAAAATAGTAAGATTTATTCTTATCCTTTACGCATTGAATTGTAAATGGTTCGCGTTCGGAATTAAATCCTCAGGCTTGTCTAATTGTGCTAATATTTCTTCACAGTGAGGTATAGACGAATCAAAATCTAAAGAGACGGGACACGCAATAGTTTTTAGTTTGGATAGGTGTAATCCTTGAGTACATTCTAAGATTATTGTATTTGAAATAGGAGTTTTATTTGTAAATTGGTCCTTAAAATATTTTTCATAACTAGAATTATTTACAGTGTTAATATCTATAACATTAACGGGACAGCGAGATAACGCATCGGCGTTAGAATTAAGACGGCCTTGTTTATAAACAATTTCGTAATCGTATTCTTCGAGTTTTAAGCGCCAACGAATGAGTCTACTACCTGGGTCTTTGACATTGAATAGCCATACCAATGGTCTATGATCGGTAACTATTTTGAATTTATTACCGTAGAGGTAAGGACGAAACGTTTTGACTGCGAATAGAATGGCTAGAAGTTCCTTTTCGGTAGTTGAATAATTGCCTTCGGGACGGTTTAGAGTACGTGATACATAAGCTATCGGTTTATCTTTGCCTACAGGACCTTGGGATAATATTGCGCCTACGGCATAATTGCTTGCATCTGTAGTTACTATGAACGGTTGAGAGAAGTCTGGATATTGGAGCAGCGGAGAGTGATTAATTTTTCTTTTAAAACATCGAAAGTAATTTGTTGTTCTTGAGACCAGTGGAAAGTAGTATCCCTTTTTAATAAAGAAGTAAGTGGTTTTGTCAATTTAGAAAAACTATCAATAAATCGGCGATAATAGCCTATTAGCCCTAGGAAGGATTTAGTTTCTTTAGGGCTCTTAGGAATTGGAAATTGAGACACTACTTTTACTTTTTATGGATTAGGAGAGACATCCTTATCGGTGATAATATGACCAAGATAAGTTACTTCACGTCTTAAAAATTCGCACTTATCTGGTTGCAATTTTAGATTGTATTCGCGCAGCTTATTGAATACTAGTTTTAATTTTTCCATATGTTCATTTAAATGATGACTATAAATTATGCAATCATCTAGATAAACATAACAGTGTAGACCTTGCAAACCAGACAAGACAGTATTCATCAGGCGCTGTAAGGTAGAAGGAGCGTTTTTTAAACCAAAGGGCATTCTAGTGAATTCATAGTAACCAGACATGCTCGAATTAGTACTTATAGTAAATCCCGTTTTTGGGGCATCTTTAGGATCCATCTTTATTTGGTGGAAACCGCTAGCAAGATCAAGGGTTGTGAAATACTTGGAATGGCCTAATTGGTCTAGGATATCAGTGATAAGAGGCAGGGGATAACTTTCGGAAACTGTGATATCATTAAGACGGCGATAGTCAATGACTATTCTCCACTTTCTTTTGCCAGAAGCGTCTAATTTTTTCGGGACTACCCATACAGGGGCGCTCCAAGGCGAAACAGAGGGACGAATTATGTTTTGATTTAGCATTTTGCGAATTTGTGTATCGACTTCTTCCTTATGACACTCAGGGAAGCGATATGATTTTACGTGAACTGGGGCCACGTTACCCGTATCTATGGAATGTTGGATGCCATTCGTAAACGAAAGGGGTTCACCTTCGAGGTGAAAGATATCCGTATAATCGAAACAGCAATTTAAAAGTGCTTTCTTTTCATCATCGTTGAGATGGGAGCAGCGTAAAAAACTTAATACTCGATCTATTCGATTAGATTTAGAAGTAGAAATAGAATACAAACATTTACTACATATTGGAATTTCGCAGGAAATAGAATTATTATAATCGATCGGTGTCAATTCTACGAAATAATCTTTAATTTCTAAGTCTGTGTCAGTCGTGTTTAAAACGGTGATGTTAACTTTTTTGTTTGGTTTTATTGATACAATACAATTCGCGACGTAAATACCCTCGCTTAAGGTATGATCTAGAACTAAGCCTTCATTATTGTGATAAAGCTCGACCGAGTAATTTGATATAGCGCATTCAATGACGGCTTCTGAGCGTGCCGGAACGATGTACGTTGGCTGATGAAATATAATGGGAACTTGGTGGAACCACACAGAGTCATTATCTTAGAGCTATAATCTATATTAGCATTAAAATATTTAAGAAAATCTGTACCAATAATACCGTCGTAACTAAGATTTATATTATCGTTAATAACGTAAAATTTATACTCGTAAGTTTCATCACTTAATAAAAATTGTAAGTAGATGAGCCTAGCGTTTCGCAATATGTATCCGTATCATTTATACCTTTGATTCTTATTTTGTCCTTAAGAAGTTCATGTTTCATTTTTAAACATGAGTGTTTAATGACACAGACACTCGCGCCGGTATCGATAAGAAGTTTGAGACACTTAGGAGAATATTTTGTAAATAGATTTGTATATGGTAACGAAACCTTGCATGTATTTATGCTCGTTTCAAAGATAGGAATAGAATTAGAATAAGATTCATTAAGACTCGGCTTAACCTCTTTGGGTTGCTGAGATGAAGATATAGTAAACGATTTAGTAGGACTCGGTTGTACCTTTTTGGTCAACTGAGATGCATAAGAACTAGCAAGACTCAGCTTCACCTCTTTGGGTTGCTGAGATGTAGATATAGTAAACGATTTAGTAGGACTCGGTTGTACTTTTTTGGCCAACTGAGATGCATAAGAACTAGCAAGACTCAGCTTCACTTCTTTGGGCTGCTGAGATGTAATAGACTTATAATGACTCAGTTCCTCTTTGGGTAACTGAGATGTAAATGAGCTAGAATGACTCGGTTGCTTGCTAAAGCATTGCCGAGATGAGTTAGAATAAGAATAAGAATAAGATTTAGCATAAGGATTTTTATAAGATTTAGTAGAAAAAGTAGTATTAATTGTTTTCGTGTCGTTACGATAGTACGATTTCGGCAGACACGCATCCGAAATCTTATTCAGTTTAAAGAGTTAGAGTTATCGACAGCGTCGTCGTTATCACATGTCATGTGCATAGGCACAGAGTTGGAACTAGAATTAGGAATAGGGTTACGGCTTACAAAATTAGAATTATTATTTGGGCTACGATTTATATAATTAGAATTAGTATTAGAGTTATGATTAAAATTTTGACGTTGTTGCATATTATATTGTCGCTTTCTACATTGATCAATAGTGTGCCCTATGTTTTTGCAATAATTACACATTAGTTTACCAGAATTAGAACTAGATAAATGAGAAATTTGTTTATTATGATTACAATTAGAATGTTTTTTTATTTTTAAAACATTGAGTAGCAACATGGCCTACTTTATTGCATATACTACACTGTTTTATTGAATTTTTTGAACACGTTTGGAGATTTTGTAATTTTTCCTCTTCTATCGCTAATTGAACAGCTTCATTTAGAGTTTGAGGGTTCCTACATCTAACAATAGTAGAAATAGCAGGATTTAACCCTAATAAAAATGTATTTAATGCTAGATCTTCCATGGCGGCTATTCTACCTGGAAGCTCATCAGCGTTTTTGCAACTATAGTGTATATCTGATTGAATTTTTGTTAAAATTTGTTCTAATTTTAAAGAAAACTTAGTGACGTCCTCGGATGACTGTTTACAGTTTTGCAAGTCTGATAATAAATGTGTCGCGTGTTTTTTCTCCCCAAAAGTAGAACGGAGAATTGTTTTTATTTGATTCCATGTTTCAAAGGTTTTTAAACTACATGCAACTTGTGTTTTTCCCTCTAGTTGTGAGATGATGAATTTGCACAGAATAGGCTGTTGTTCTGATGTAGCTAACGACATTGCATTGTCGCAGTTTGTGAGAAAAGCGGGTAGGGAATCTTTCTCCCCATTATAGGATTTTATAAATTTCGTCAAGAACGAAAGTGTGATTTTTTCCGACATATTTTCTTTACCTTTTTCTGCTTTAAGAGACATAGAGTTAAATTTTAAATATTAAACTTATATAAAATAATCACAATAAAACAACGTAAAAGGTTGGTAATAGTACAGAAACAGTATAAAATAAAAGTAAATTTTAAATTTAAACAATACAAAATGACTTACAGAATGGTAATAATTTCTATACGTAGCATTTAAGCGTCGTAACAATAGCTAGGTGAAACGTTACACTCGTGGCGGCTGGCAGGCGAGATCGCTGACGCGGTGACTCCGTCACGTCGTGGGAAATAGCAGGACCGGAAGGCGTAGAAAGTTCTTGAAATAATTTTTGTTGGTGAGTTAGACCCAGCTGGTGCGGGCTCCTCATGGAGACCTATCGTCGGCCAGACGGGAGATTTCAGGACCAGGTGTGAGTGGAGCGGGCTCACGCTTCAGAGCGGAGGCTGATCGTCGTCCAAAATTGTGGTAGGTGCAGGCTTAGGCACGGCTAAGGCTTAATGTCGACCTTGATGATTTCGGGGACCTCGGATTCGGATGCCAATGTCTTCTATGACTATCTGTTTGGCATCCCACTTCTGACACCAATTTGTTAGGAGGCCGATCCCGTTTGACTTTTTTTAAAAAAAAAAACCACAAGGTAAACCTAAGTAACAACCTAAATAACACCTAACCCAAATAACATGGTATAAAGAACAAAGTTTATCTTCATAAAATTGTCTTGATGATGAAGTAACTTTCGTTCGTAAGGATAAATAGGCCATGGCTAATAATAACGGTCATAAATCACTTTTAAATTATCAATATTTTTGTCACAAAATACCAAATTATGACTTATGTATAAGAAATAGACATATGGTATCGCGGACTTTTTTTAAGAAAGAGTAAAGGTCTATATTTTTCTAGAACATCGTATTTACGTATCCCTAACGATAACACCAGCGTACTGTTAGGAGGCCGATCCCGTTTGACTTTTTAAAAAAAAACCACAAGGTAAACCTAAGGGTTTATTATAAAAAGTTTACACACACAATTAATATTAACCCTGACTTCCGAACTCTAATACGTATCGGAATCTATGTCCGATCTACCCGGGGCTCTGAATCTAACTGACTGTAAAATGGAATAAAATTAATATGGAAAAGAAAAATGCAATTACTGATTGACGTCATATATAGGAAAAGTACCGTGGGATTGAATAAATGCTTACTAAGATTTAACTGCGTTGTAAAAAGGGATATAATACGCAGAAAAATCATTTCGGGAGTGCTTTTTCTTCTGACTTGCTTAACAAATATTTAAGGCTAGCTGAGTAATATAGCTTAGTGCTAGATTAGCCTACACTATTCCACATGAATCTGGCTATAATATACAAAAAGAATTTTTCAAATGGGACTAGTAGTTCCAGAGATTAGCGCGTTTAAATAAACAAAAAGCAAAAAAAACTCTTCCGCTTTATTATGTTAAGTATAGATTAGTATATTAGTATAGATAAGATTTAAAAGAGAATGAAAGTGGGTTGAGAATGAATGAGTTACTCGTCAAATGTTTTCTCTATGCTAATGACCAAGTATTACTTGCGTCTTCGGCCGAGGAGTTGCAGGAGATGATAACTGCTATGAGTGGAGCTTTTGTTAGAAAGGGAATGAAGATGAATGTAAGGAAGACGAAAGTGATGGTGTTTGAAAAAGATGAGGCAGTGACAGACTGTAATATTGTGATTGAAGATGAACAAATTGAACAGGTGAAAGAGTTTGTGTATCTGGGTTCAAAGTTTACAAGAGATGGAAAGTGTGAGAGTGATATCGAAAGAAGAGTGAATGCAGTAAACATGGTGAATGGAGCTTTGGATCAGTCGAAAGTTGTCTAACAAGGCTCGTTTGGCTGTGCATGAGGGGGTGTTGGTTCCGACACTCATGTACGGAAGTGAAACTTGGGTATGGCAGAAGAAACATGAAAGCAGAATAAATGCAGTTGAGATGAGAGCATTAAGAAGTATGATAGGAGTTAAACTGAGTGACAGGATAAGAAACAGTGAGATAAGGAAACATTGTGGCCTGAAAGAAGATGTAGTGACAAAAATTGAGAAAGGTATGCTGAGATGGTTTGGCCATGTTGAGAGAATGAATGAAGAACGATTGACGAAAAAAGTGTATAAGGCGAATGTGAATGAAAGTGTTGGAAGGGGTAGACCTAGGCGGACATTTCTAGACCAAATCAGGGACGTCTTGAAAAAAGGCCAGGTCAAGAGTACCCTAAACTGTAGAGCATGTATGAAGGGAATAATGAAAGTGGACGAAGCAAAACAAGTATGTAAGGATCGTAGCAAGTGGAAAGAACTGGTCTCTGCCTACCCCTACGGGAAAGAGGCGTGATTATATGTATGTATGTATGTAGTATTTGACTTTTCTAGTGCTTGGCATCACTCATTATCAACGAAGACTTATGAGCGCGATTAAAAATGTTGGTTGTGCTAGTAAATTTATTTCTTAGGGTTTCCCTCCAGTGAAGTTTAAAGAGCTCACCTCCCCCAAGGCATGCTACAAAGCACGGTCCAGAGCCAAACTCCTGCATCTTTTTTAGGCCGTCGCTCTTTCTA